GAGACAGAGAGAGAGAGAGAGAGAGAGAGAGAGAGTAGGTCTGATTGAATCGCAGAAGGAAAGTAACATCTACCAAGACTTGCTCTCAAGGAATCTAAACCTCAGAAATGTAAGGAACTTTCCAAATTCACTTGCTGTTCCATGATGGTGAAGAATTTGAATACAGATCTGACTCCAAAAATCTGGAGAGAAAAAGGACTCTTCCAAATTCTTAAATGCCATTATACTTTATTTTTTAAAATTAGGCAATTTCAAATTATTAACAGTATTACCTGAGGAATTAGGCTGGTGAAGGATTGAAAGAAAAAAAGGCAAGCTTCTTGCTCTGTGCTGTATTCTGTGCTGTCACTATTTTGTATAGACATGTACAAATGTACTTTTTAGACATGAAGTAACTAAATCAATTACAAAATGCTAAAAGCACACTTTCTTCTTACAATAAAATCTGTAATGGCCCAAACTTTGTTACCAGATTTTTTATTTTTTTAGTACTAGGGATTGAACTCAGGACTTTCACACTGAGCTATATCCTCAGCCCCTTTTCTGTTTTTTATCTTTGACACTGGGTCTCACTAAACTGCTAGTTGCCCAGGTTGGACTTGAACTAGCAATCCTCCTGGCTTTGGCTTCCTAGTGCCAGAAATATTAGAATACTAATATTTCCAAAAATATTTTCTGGGAATAAAAAACTAATTTCATATCATCTGGTAAATTCTGATTATTTTTTTCTACTTCTGAAAGGAAAAAATAAATTACTGTCTACTCTCCTCACTTCCAATTATATATAAATATAAAGGAGAGAATATTCCCAAATTTTGATTGATGCAACTTGACAAAAGCCATTTGGATGTACAACTGAGTAGTGCATGGGTCCCTTTTATACAACTGTCCTACCCTTGCCAGGAAGTTCTAGAAACCTCCTCGATAAAATAACATTTTAACATATACTTTCTTATTTTTAACTGAGTATGAGTCAACCAATTAAGGTGATTTTTCTTCCTGCTTAATTGACTTTGACACCAGTACCAATTCTGTTTCTTAAACACATGATTCTGAAGAGCCACAATTCTAACACATATAAATTGTCAGTAGATATGAGGTTCTTCACAACATAGAAAAACTAGAGTACAACAAGCCATCACGATTGTTTACTAATAAGCCAGTGTTGCTCAGATTTTAATTATATACCAACTTTCCCAACTTCTGCCATACCTATCACCAGCAATCACCACTTCTTTTAAGTAGTCATAGTCTTCTAGCTTTAATCAGTTTGATGTGAAATGTTTTACACTATTGCTGTAAGTGGAAAACCTGCCATTGAATCTCTACATAAATTAATATTAAATACATAACACTTAAAATTTAAATTATTTGTGTATATACCACACACTGACAATGTATCAAGTACAAATTTGTACCACTTTTAAAGAGAAATACTACACCCTGAGAGATTAAATAAAATCCTCATAGAATTTATCTACAAATAGTTCTAAATCTTTTTTAACTGAATCCTATGGTTACTATATCCTTAAGGGGTACAAAAAATGTGTGTGTGTGTGTGTGTGTGTGTGATCTTCACAAGCATCTTCAAATTTACAACTATATTTTAGTACTCAGATAATCTGATACATACACTGTGATTCTTAAAACAACAAATGGCTTATTATAGAAGTCTACATCAGACTCTGAGTCATGAATTTGCTAATGGTCTCTCCCTGGACACATTTGCCTCCAACTTTTTTAGCTTTGTTTTTAGGAGCTGTTGTTTCCTCACAAAAAAAAAAAAAAAAAAAAAGTTTTAGCACAAAGTACAACACAAATACATACAAACACATACCCTAAATATATTTTAGAAAGAAAATTTTGCCCCTATGTTATTTACAATCATATTTTGCAATCTGGGGGGTAAAAATACTCTTGACGATTTAACTTGGCTTTCTGAGAGCGGATTCTTCAATTTGGGCAGTTGATTTCCTGTTATTTGGTTAATGTTTTATTTGTTTAAAAAAGAAATAAATGCTGAGAACAGTCTTTCCTGGTTAGGGAATGCCACTTCAACACTGACATGACAGCTCAAAATTAACATTCCAACCATTGCTGAATCAATTACATTTCTTCCAAACAGAGGTTTTCTGGAAAACAGATGTTACAACTTGAAAGCAGCCTCGAAGAATTAAGATTTACCAAATATGGAAGACATACCTAAGGAGAAATTTTCTCTAAAACTTTCAGACTAGGTTTTGCATACACAGAATACTACTAAAAGTGGGCATTACCAACTTGTCACCACGCACTGTGCCTTGGGTTCTAGCCCATTAATTAGTGGCCATTCCAGCACCTTTGCTCTAGCCTCTCCCTCATTACCCCATCTTTATCAAATCAATACCCAGACAGATTCTTTCTTCACAGACTCCACTACAGGGGAGGACCCAGGTTAGGGGTCTGGAACACATCGTTTGTGGACAAAAGGAGGACAGAAATATCTTTTCAAATTCTACAGAAACACCACCTCCAGAGAACCTGCGACGGCCTTGAGAAGAGGACCTGAGCAGGTGAGGGCCCTGAATCTTAAGTTTCCTGAGCTCCTCGGGGAATCTACACTTGACCTTTCCTTCATGAATGTCATCTACACTGTATTTCAAACCCCTGTCTCCACACGGTAGAACTAACACCATTTCTCTCTCCCTCCACCTGTCCTGTCCACCACAGAACATTCCACATTCT